ACCTGTCCCACCAAGGAGCTTGGAGTAGATGGCCTGGGAATGGGAGGGTGACGTTTAGCAGGGGAGGAACAGATGGCAGGTAGAGATGTCAGGGTTAGGGTGGCGTGGAGGCAGAGCTTTGCAAATGAGTGTAAGGACTTTGGCTTTTACTTTCGCGTGGGATAGAAAGCTACCAGAAAGTTATTTTTCTTCTTTAAATTTCTTTCTTTTTTCCATGACCAAAAGAGACAGAGAAGAGGGAGCAACCCCAACAAAGTCCCCACACCAAAATCTATATCCAGAATGAAGATAAACAGACCTGGGTCATTGGCACACACACACACACACACACACACACACACACACACACACACACACCAGGGAGGTCTTTAGAGGTGAACCCAGAAGCCAGATCAGCCTCATGGAGCACTCTGCGCTCCTGCTATGCTGCCACCCAGCCCCACCAGAAGGGCCTGCGTATGTTTGAAATGGCCACTTGCAGCTAAGTTCTAGTTCTCACCCTGGAGGAGTCCAGTAAGTCATTTATCTTCTCGGCAGATTCAGTGTCTTTATGCTAATCTTGTAAAACTCGTAAATCTATGATAAGTCTTGTCTTTCTGAGTTATCGTGAGAATCAAATGAAGGACACAGGAAAGCATTTTTGTAGACTGAAAACACTGGAAGCAGGTATAAAGTAATTGCATCAGGATTCAGTGCCAGCATTGGAAGAAGCTACATGGTGATATCCCAACTCCACAAAGTCAGAAATGGCATTTCAGCTAACCCTCCCTAAGGAGGAAGAGGGAAGAGATAAAAAGAGAGGGACATTGAAAAACTGAAAATAAAAATGCACTGTAAAAAACAACCAGAAAAAAATAATAACAAGAGTGAGTTTGTACTATGTCCACTCAGCTAAAAACTCCATTTCCATTTCCCTGTACAGTCTGGGTTTGGGTTGGCCACGAGAGAAATTTATGAGGGATGAGCGTTGGGCACCAGGCATTGCTGAAGTTCATGAATGCTGTTTCTGACCAGTTGGTTCACCTTGTTGGCATGGGGCAGCAACTGGACTCCACACCCCAGTTTCTGAAGGGTCCCTTCCTTTGGTATCACTGAGTCCTGAGACTGGGAGTCACCCTACTCCACAGCGCAGGCCTTAGAGCCTTCCGCACGTCGCCTGTGTCACTGAGTTTCAAGGGAGTCAGAGGCAGATGGGCTGCACTTTGTCCTGGTCACTTTATTTGTCCTTGGCCTCCCCTACTTGAGGCCCAGCCTCTCTTCCGGACAGTAGGTAGACCAGATGCACAGGCAGCAGCACCCACTGACACCCACAGCTGTGCAGCCTGTGAGGCCGACACCTGGAGTCAGTGCTCTACTCCACGTCATAACGGTGCTGATTCTCCACTCAATTCCAACTGCTCCAGAAAGTGGGCATGCTTGCCCTCGGCAGGCATATACAAGTGAAGCTCTGCACAGGCCTTTGGTATCCTGGCACATGGTTGTCATCTTTTTTTTTTTTTTTTTGGTTAAGGTTTTTGCCACAAGGAGTGTATGTTTGCCAGAGAGAGAAAGAGAGAGACAGTAAGAGGGTAAGTGAGAAGTTAGCCCCTGAGGGGTACAGCCACACATCAATCCCTTCTCTATTCTCCTCCTGGGATTTGGGCATGCATGCACATGTGCCTAGTGTGATTTTCAAGCCACCAGGTCTAGGACTCAAACTGCAGTCAGCCATATGGGAGTCCAGCCTCAACTACCACACCACCTGCTGGCCCCCAGCTTTCCTCCTTTAAAGATAACTTTCAACTTTGGGTGGCTGATGCCCAGAGACTGAATGCTTCACCATGGGACCAAGTTAAGATGCACGTGAGCTCCCCAGCATGGACCCACCGTCATCAAATCAAAGCAGACTGGGAGCAGCTCCGTCGGGTCGAGAAGACACTAGTAAGCTGCTAAGCAAGTAGTTTAGAGCTCCTGGCTCCTATTCCGACAGTGCGGCCTCCCTTTCTCAACACTGACTCATGAGCACTAAGGTTTGGTTGATCAAGATGTGAGAAGAAAGTGATTAGAAAACTAGTAACAAACAACTGATCTTGAGGAGATGCAGAAACCAGACTCCTATAAATGGGCATACAATGTGAAATATATGTCTACAAGATGAATGCTTAGCAAAGGGCAACCTCGGCAGAAGAGGGTTTTAAGAATCAGGTAAACATGACCCATTACAAATGCTGGTGGGCCTCGTTCCCCACAGTTCTCATCCAATGGGCTTGTGTACAAGTGGCCATGGTGGCAGGGGAGGAGGTTAAGCAAGGAACTTGGTCACATGGGCTTCCACTCATGAAAAGTAATCTGGCTCCAGGCAATTATGAACACCCGGCCACGAACAACAACACCGAACATTGCCCCCTCCATGACAGCATTCCTCGGGACGCTGTCTAGGTGCAGGCTGTTAGCACTGGCCCATGTCCATCGTGAAGGGAAAAGCAGAGTTCCTTCCAGCTCCGCAACGTTCCTACCAGAAGTACCATTCCTGGCCTTATAGGGCGCCCCATCCACCATCGTCGGATCTCACACAGCACTGCTTCTGACGAGGAACTCAATTTATAGCACATGAAGTGCAACAATGGGTTTACACTCAGGAAGTGTAGTCATATCCACCAACACCCTGAAATAGCCAACCCAGCAGACCAGCAGAATGGGTTTTCTTGAATATTCCGTTACAGTGCCAGTCACCTGGCAGCACCTCGCAGAGCTGAGGTAATATCTTCCATGAGTATTCATTCTGACTCAGTGGTAATGTTTCTCCCATAGCTGGGCTTCACAAGTCCAAGAAACGAGGGGTGAAAATAATAAGGGCCCCTCTCAGTTTTATCCCTGGTGATCTGCTAACAAAATTTTTGCTTTGCTTCCAGGCACCAGCTGAGGAATGGCTTCGCTGAACAGCAGGACATGACACACGAGCTCTTCACTCAGAGAAGGCGGGGCCTCTCCAGAGCACACGAGATCACGCCGAGTGGCCAGCCTTCCAAGTCGCTGGGGGAAGGGGAGAGCCAAATGTTCCGCGGACTGGAAACACCTCGTCAAAAAACCACTTCTTAAAATTTATTGCCATCAAAAAAGGAATTCACTCGAGTTTTAAATTATATTGAGTCATTTCATTTTTTATGTTTCCTAATTAATCTACTATCTTCTTAAATAGTTGACACTTAGAAACTACTTGAATGCACTTTTCCCAGTTTCTTTTTTTAGAGAGAAATTTTTGTTATAGGGTGCATGAGCTTACCAGAGAGACAGAGAGAGACAGAAAGCGAGAAATCACTCCCCAGGGGGGATGACCACACCACAATCCCTCCTCCATTTTCCTCTTGGGCTTTTGGGCACACACGCACCCACTATGAGTTTCAAGCCTCCGGGTCTGAGACTTGAACTGCAGTCAGTCATGTGGTAGTCCAGTGTCATAACCATTACACCATCTGTTGGTCCCAATAGTTTTCTTTTTAAGTTTATTTATTTCTTCTATCATGAGAAAAAGACAGAAACCCCCAGAAGGGTCCTCATGCCTTGATCTATCCCCAGCCTGAGCTAGTAAAGGTCACAGACCTGTGCAGGCTCCCAGCATGTACAGGGAGACCTCAGGATGCAAACCTGGAACCCGTCCCTGTGTCTTTGGCATGGCAGAGCGTTGTATTAGCACTGCTCTACCACAGCTGCCCTCCAAATACAATGTTTCTTAAATTAAAGGAAAATTAAAGCATTTAACTTACAGATCTCAAAATCTAAAATCTTATCAGAACTACCTACCCCCTTTTCTCATTCAGAGTACTATCAATATTTGCTGATATTAGGCTTGGTCTGTGCCAGGACTATTCCAGAAGCTGAGCAAATAGGTATGAATGAGCTAGAAAAGGCCCCCTTGTCAAAGACATACAGTCTAGCTAATATACCTTCTACATATATACAGACACACACAGAGAGAGAGAGAGAGAGAGAGAGAGATTAATATCCCATCTTCACAATGAGAAAAATATGCCAACAGGGGACTCTCCTATAGAAACACCCATTTAACAATGGAGTTAAAATCCTGCTTTGCTGAAATAGATATGCGTGTTTGTTGCCAAGGAAGAGAAAGATCCAATAACATAAAGTATCTATGTAGCAGAGATGTCAGATAATATTAAAATGACTCTGGGATGAAGGAAAGAAATCTCTGTAAGAAGACAGATGAGGTAAGAGACCACAGCATGAAATATTAATACGTCGAAAGCCTCTTGATTAAAATCAGCAATCACTCTTTCACTTTTCACTGAATCTATCTTTTATTTAAAAAGCAAGCTGGAGTCCCTAAGTTGACACATACTCAGATATTCTACTTCAGTTCCTTTATAAGCCAATAGCACAGAGCCTGACAGAATATTGAAAAGAGAAATAAAGCCAACAATTACAAAATAAATTCCAGAGATAATTATAGAAAGACTTTCAATGTCAGCCTGTCTTTCTGTTTTTGAATTTGAAAGCTGTATACTAACAAAGAGGTGCTTCTGAGGATAACCAGTAGGCAGGGAAAACCATGCGAACTATAATTTAGGCAACAATTTTCCTGGTAAAACCTATACAAAGAAAAAGAAAGGGAAGGGAAAGGGGAAAAGGAAGGAGAAAGGGAAGGTGAAAGGGGAGAAGGGAAGGGGAAGAAGAAAGAGAAGGGGAAAGGGAAGGGGAAGGGGAAAAGGAAGTAGAAGGGGAAGGGGAAGTAGAAAGGGAAGGGAAAAGGAAGTAGAAAGGGAAGGGGAAGTAGAAAGGGAAGGGAAAAGGAAGTAGAAGGGGAAGAGAAAAGGAAGTAGAAAGGGAAGGGGAAGTAGAAAGGGAAGGGAAAAGGGAAGGGGAAGGAGAAGGAAGGGGAAAGGGAAGGGGGAAAGGGAAAGTGAAAGCGGAAGGGAAGGAGAAGAGAAAAGGGAAAGGCTACCCTTTCCAATAGGCCTACAAATCAGGAGGCCAACTTTGGCCAGGTCAAGCCTGCTACTCACTCGCTGTTATGTATTCAGGAGCTTTCCCAGGACTCAGTGGCACAGCTTCCTCGTAATAACCTTCTGGAAGAGAGGACGTTGGTAATGGTGGAGGCCCACTGTCAGGCGGCTGAGAAAAAAGGGACGAAACAACATAGAGATTAGCTTGATCATTACAAGGACATTCTGTCTTTCCAATAAACAGGTGTTAGCCAGTATTTTCCTCTGTAAAGTCTATGGCAAAAAAAAAAAAAATACCATTCTACAGAGAGGTCATTTACTGGTGGGTCTCCACTACTTCCTATTCATGTCTAACCCACAGCTTCAGCCCGGCCACACACCAACTCGCTGGCGTTCAGCTAACACGCAGTGCTGTCTCCCCTGAGCGTCATCTGCACTTCTGTGCTGAGGTCCACAACACACCTTCTCCAAACAGAACTGGAGTGATTCTCATGCAGCCTTTCAGATCCCCCCACACAGCCAGGGCTGAGTCAGGTGTCTCTCCTGTTCATCTCCACAACACTCTCCACACTACGGACCCCCAACAGATCTCGAAAGCTGATTGTTCTCCAGGGCCCACACCACTCAGATAGAAAACGCTTGGAACATTCATCACAGAAGAATCCCAAGATGGAACCAGCAGGTGGCATAATGGCTATGTCGCTGGACTCCCATGTAGCTGTCTGCAGTTCGAGTCTTGGACCTAGTGGCTTAAACTCACTCAGGGCATGTGTGCACGCATGTCCAAGATCCTGAGAGGAGAATGGAGGAGAAGGAATTGCAGTGTGGTCATACCCCCGGGGGGTGATTTCCCACTCTCTGTCTCTCTGTCTTTCTGGAGAGCGCACACGCCCTATAGCAAAACCTCTCAAATAAATAAATAAATAAATAAATAAATAAATAAATAAATAAAAGAGGAAGAAGAAAAAGAAGCCGGAGATCCACTGCAGCTGGATGAATGAGCAGGCCTGCCCATATTCTACTACATTCCTCCTATGTGCCAGGAAAACTTAAAGGAAGGGAGGGAGGGAGCGG